TCAGGGAAGGCCTCCCAGAGCAAACACTTGGAGTTCAAGGAAGCGTGTCCTGCAGACACATGGAGGAAATATTACAGAGGGAACAGATGCACGAGACCCTGAGTGGGGCAGCGACAGAGGCCTCGAGAAGCAGCGAGGAGCCCAGAGGGGCTGGAGCTGAGAGCGGGCAGCAGGAGAGAAGTAGTGGGCCAGATCTCTGAGGCCACATGGCAACCAGGATGAGGACTCTGGCTTTTACTTAGAGTGGGAGGTGTGCCATGGAGGGGTGAGGGCGGTGGAGACATTCCTGAGGGAAGGAGACTCTAGAGCAGGGGAGCTGATGAGGTGTCCACTGCAGGGCTTCCAGAGAGGGGAGCTAGGACTGTCCTGGATCCTGGCCAATCGTTTCCATGTAACTGCAAAGAACACGCAGGAATTGTTAACTCGGCAGCTTTAGCTGGTGTCTGCCGCCCTCTAGTGGACATACAGGAGATTACCCAAACCAGCTTCCAGCTTCTTGTCTCCCGCCAGGAATCTGTGGATTCTGTGGTTTCACTTTCAATGTGGGGCTATAAAAACTCTCTTGTGGAGGTGTTGGGCAGCACTGGGAGGAAACTACTAATCAACAAAGCGACAGGAAGGCGAAGGGAAACTACGAATAGATGCAACAGTGTTCGGAGTAGGGTTGGAGCAGGGGCATGTGGTGTTTGCTAAGTGACAGAAGCCAGGACCCAGAATCGGAGGACTGGGGCTGAAGGATGCATTAGAACTGGGAGCTGTAGAACAGGTGCTGTCCCCAGGAGGTGACTTTGAGGATGCTTGCCAGAGGATTCTGAGTTCCAGGGCACAGTCACAGGTTCCAGCTGGGGAGGGAAGGGAGGAATGGAGCTGAGAAGGCCCAGTTAATGGAAAGAAAATGGACGTGCGGAAGCCCTGCAGATCAAAACAGCTAGATGTCTGGTGGGGTGAGGGTGTGAGGACACTGGACTACGAGGGAGCCCTGGGAGCCGTGCAGCCACTGGAAGCATTC